GATGTAGTGTTATCTTGTTACTTATTGTAGTGTTATTATGTTACTCACTGGTATGTTATCTTGTTACTTACTGTAGTGTTATCCTGTTTCTTACTGTAATGTTATCTTGTTACTTATTGTAATGTTATCATGTTACTTACTGTAGTGTTATCCTGTTTCTTACTGTAATGTTATCTTGTTACTTACTGTAGTGTTATCTTGATATTTACTGTGGTGTTATCTTGTTACTTACTGTAGTGATATCCTATTATTTACTATAGTGTTATCTTGTTACTTACTGTAGTGATATCCTATTATTTACTATAGTGTTATCTTGTTACTTACTGTTGTGTTATCTTGTTATTTACTGTAGTGTTATCCTGTTTCTTACTGTAATGTTATCTTGTTACTTACTGTAGTGTTATCTTGTTACTTACTGTAGTGTTATCTTGTTATTTACTGTGGTGTTATCTTGTTACTTACTGCTGTGTTGTTGCCTTGCCCACCAATGAGGTTCTTTCGCTGCACAGCTAAGCACATCCGGGTGATCTATGATCCGTTTATATAGATCAGTACTCCCAGATTTAGGCGTACCAATCAACATGAAGTATGGCAGACAGCGAAGCCTTTGCTTGGAAATGATTTTGCATATTTGATTGTTTTTACCAAGATTATTAAAACAGGTGTTTTGTATTTTTTCCTGTTGAACATCTGTAAGATTTATCTTCTCATACCAACATGGGTTCTTAAATTCAGTCAGGAAGTTCGGCGGATCCTAAAACAAATAAAAAAAATCAAAATTAATTGATATGTAATGAAATGATAAGATAAAGAAACGAGTATATCAAAGTTTGAGCAAAATGTTAATTAGGACAGAATATGAACATAGGAAAAGTTTAAACGGTGACGTTCAGTTGTCTTTGAAACGTGTAAGTCGTATTAGTATATTAATTTAGTTAAGGGGTTTAGTATATCTATTGAATTGCTAACAGTAGTACAGGGATCCTTAATCCCGAACAAAAACAATAAAATTATACAGCAAAAAGGAAAGTTTTAATATTTTATTGACATCATGTCTTCAACTGCTAAAATCAAGTGGTAAAAGTTATTAAATAGAAACTCAAAGTTAAGTATTCTTTATCACTACTTAGCGTGCGTCTTTAACCGCAGACTGTTATGCACCGATTTGATACAATGCTACCCGGATCTCTATGTATATTCCCAAGAAAGTTAAAATGAAAACAAAGTATTCCAGTCAAAAATTTAAGAATATTCCGTAATCAATGGTTTTGACGGTTGTCTGATGTCTAACAAACTGATTGGCTGACAGTGGCGAGCAACGACCAATCATATTAACGAGTCAGTCGTTTTGATTGTTGTCTGGCTAAAAATGATGGCTTACAGCCGCGCTCAACATCAAAAACGTTTTAAGTTTTTTGAATACTAGTCCAAAATGCTTTTTATACAGACACATTGTTGATAATTTTTACCTAAAAAAATACATATAAAAAAATCAAGAATTTTATTAACAAAATTACGAATGTCCTCTCATTGCTTGTCTATAGAGGCAGGACGTTATAACAGCATAGAAAGACCTCAGAGGTTATGAACTCATTGTTTATTAGATGTGATAAAGGATGATTTTCTTTTTTTTACTTATATGTCCTTTATATCAAATATTAAGAGTTAAATTCATTAAAAGGTACTACTGGTGTAGCCCATCTGACATCAAGCTAACTCAGTTATGAAGTGTACAGAACAATAAGTAATTAAATAATGTATGTAGGTTTATTTTTGAAGCAAAACATTTCGATTTGAGATCAAGAAACCATACTTAAGTAATTATTTGTACAGTTGTAATGATATAAAATACATTACTTACATGATCTTATGATTATATGTACCTGTGCTTTTTATACAGCATTTTCTTTGCACTGATTGTACGCCATGACATATCATGTAATTTGATTGATTGGCTGATGAGCAAAATTGCTCAAGGCTTAATAAAGAACTTGAACTTGAATCTCTGAGTGCCAACATTTTTAATTTACCTGTAGGGCAACTTGTTTTGATAGGGTTATAGTCTTTTTCTAAAAAGTGTCTGAGATCCAACAGGTGAATCTACCTGTAAAACTTACCTGTTGGAACTCAAGCACACATAGTATTATACTAAATATATACTTTGTTAACTTTTTAATTTACGTAAGTTTTATATTTTTGATAATATTAACAAGCTGATCGTGAAGTATTTAATTTAATACAAGTTGAACTGATATTTTAATTACAGTTAAATAACCTAATTATACTGAAAAATTAATTAAAATTTAACAACACGTTAATTACATGTATTACATATATCGGCTCATTTCCCGAACACCAACTCTGGAGAATTGAAAGGAAGGTGTTTATATAGGAAATCCCTTGAAGTTTAGTTATAGCCTGTTTCAACTAAGAATGTCAACTCATTTTGTAGATATGATATTAAAGTCAATAATAATTAATAAAATGGATAAAAAGTTTTGATTTCCTACATATAACTGTAATACACATTTAATACAGCACTAAGTAATAGAAAATAATCATCAGTGATCATTACATATTATTTTTTACATTATATGAAAAAGAAAAATAACATTACATTATATGAAAAACAAAATTCCTTAATTTAAGCCACATTGATACTAATGTCAGCAATACAATACAGTTTCTATTCCTACATATAACAGTAATACACATTTTAATACAGCACTAAAAGATAGGGATTATTAAACATAAATATAAACAGTAAACCTTTCTGGAGCTAAAGCAGATGAAGAATTTTGCATGAATCATGATGATTTTAGTTGGAATGGATTTTTGGAATTCAGAAGTTTTACCAAAAAGTATAATATCTTCCTTTATTTCGAATGTTTGGTCAGTTTTTAAGTATATCCATCTACGTATGTCTTGCAAGAAGTTATTTGTTATTTGACACTGTTAAAAAAGATGTTCTATAGTTTCTTTGCTTTCTTGGCATAAATTACATAAATCACATTGTTTGATTCCAATTATTTTCAAATAATGATTAAGTGGAAGTATTCTTGAAAGAAGCCTGAAAGTGAACCATTGAATGCTAGATTTAAGTCCATATATAAAGTTTTCTAAATCAATCATTTTGAGTCCACCCTCACTATAGTCTTGAACACTTGTTAAGCGTTTTATTCTATCAATTAGTGATTGCCAGACAAAATTGTATTTTTTTTGTTCAATGATTGAATTATGTATTTATGTCCTAATTCACCGATTCAAACGAACATAAATCATTTATCAACACTGAAATAGAATATCGCTGACCGCAGCATACGCTTTCGAAGAAATATGTGATGATATCCTGATTTCAGATCAAACTTAAACATAAAACACCCCCGTTCAAAATAGTCTAAGGCGACCTTCCAATCCTCAAACTTAACCTTTGCTTTCCAGACATGCACATTCACCTGTCTTAGATCTAAGATAAGCCTTTTCTTACCAGAAATACTGACCGCCACACTCAATGGATTGACTACATGCGGCACAAAAGGTACCGATATGACACACCTATTAGCCACCAAATCATCAATAGCCTGCGTGACAAACTCCGCCTCCGACAATGCTGATTTATTGTTATAAGAATACATTCTGGGAGGTGTCGAAATGAAAGGTATTACATAGCCTTTTTCAATTGTACTAACAATATTTTCAGGTGCATGCATATCCTTCCAGAACTGTATATG